AGGCTAAGGCTGCATCCTACCTCTTTCTTACAACTAGAGTGGTACTCTTTGAGAATAAAGTAACAACTTCTGATACAATGTGTGGATTACAGATTACAGTGGTAGATTAAACACAAAGAGGCTCCGAAGCATCAGAAACATTTATTTTACAACAGTACATCAGATAGTCGTTTCAGGCAAACGTCCACGCTACAAACACAAACCTCTACGTCTCTGTGTATGTACAGCACGTCTGCCATTTGTCACCTCGCCATCAGAACGGTTCACATCTAAAGATGTCTACATCCTCCTCACAGCGGCTAGTTCATCAATCATTACAAAGATCAGAAAATCAAAATAAATTAAATAATGCATCATTATTATCACCATGTGGCTGCTATCTTCTTACATACATCGGTTTCATTATTCGATGATGGAAATGTGCCGACTCCAGGTTTGGTCAGCCAATCAGGTAACGAGGCGTCTGCAGGTTTCACCGAAGCTCATTCAGAAGCCTTTTTAACCCAGCGATGGGGTCAATGTGAAAACAGGAACACAGCAACTTAAACGTGTTTGGGAAAAGAAAACCTCTGATTTTCACGGATCTGCAGTTTGGCTCAGACCAGTCAGGAGTCGACTCGGCCGCTAGCATCGATACATATGGACATCAACGAGTGTCTGATCGAGCATCAAGATGTGGTGAAGAAATTTAGCCCGTTTGGTTCAACGTCGTCTTTTTTCTTTGTTTTTTGTTTTTACAAAAATCAATCTACAGACACGAACTAACAGGAAACTTCTGTGACAAATAAAAGCCTACAAAATAAAACTTGTGTGATTGGTACAAACTGATTGTTCTGCTAGAAAACTGCTCGTCTGAACAATAATAAGACTTTGGATGTGAAAGCGTCCCTTCATCAACACCATTAATAAAAAGAAGGAAAAGCAAACCTAGAGACAGAGGGAAGAACGGTGAGGTCTAAACTTACACCACATGTACAGCATCGCTACCTCCGCACACTAAACTACAACAAACACGGGGCTCGATCAGTGTGCACGCAGACACACAGCGCCTCAATCCTTCACCTGTGGAAGACCATAAACATGAAGGGAGGAGGAGGAGGAGGAGGGACGAAGCTCGGAGGAGGAAACTGGAGCTTAATTACTGCTGAGAACTACAGTAGTCTGATTACTCTTAGACTAAAAAGTAACTGAGTGGAAGAGAGCCATCCCGCTGTGTGTGCTGTCCGTGACGATTCATCATTGGATTTACCAATTTGGTAACTGCGTGCTCGGCGCTCTCTGACGGAAACGTGACTCCATGTTTGATGGCGTGCTCTCCCCTGATCTCTGTTTTCATGGGGACGCTGTGGCTGCTCAGTGTTTGTGCAACACGTTACTATAATCACATTACAGTTACTAGTACGCTGTTACTCGCATTACAAAAGTTCTTCAGTTATCAGCACGGCAGGCAGAAAAAATTAAAAACTAAAAGTTTTTATTCTCATGGCAATCAGCTGATGGAGGAAAATGGCGGAGTGGTCAGAATTACCAGGCGTGTGCTGGGGAAGTGACAGAAACATCTGCATTATGCTGCTAACATCTGCACAAACAAAGAATCCCGAGTGATGTTAAAGCCGAGTGTATGCAGACTCCAGCCCGGCAGCCAGAGCCGTTGGCGTCTCATGTTTTATCACCGCGGCTTTGGGCTGGTTTTCATCTCAGTGCTC